GGTGGTACAAGATGTTAAAGCTCAGCACTATGAAGTAATCAGCCACTGCAACATGAGTCAGGGAGGTGATCCGCATGGGCAGCAAACCTCTCCTGTTTCTTCTGATGTTACCCTTAACAGTAGCAGTGTATTTCAGTGGCTCTGCCTGTTCTGCTCCTCACTTTGTATCTGGTGGATCCTTGCACACCTCTGGCCTATACCCCAGTTCTTGTATACATCAATAAATAAATCTTAAAAAAGAAAAAAGAAAACTAACATTCAACTTGGGTGGCTCAGAGAGAAGATGGGGGACATATGTGAGACCCTTGGTTTCCTCCTGGGTCTAGGGATCAAATAATATGACTCGCATGACCCAGACTATCTCTGGGCCACAGCCCCCTTAACAGTAGGCCCCATTGTGCATAGGGGACAAAGATAGCACGTATATCCTCCCTTATGTACAAAAGGTGATTGCTAGGTCAGGTCTGCCACACACATGTGCATGCACACATGCACACGCAAAAACCAAGGAGTGAGCTTAGCACTCACTTGTTGGATACTATATACTCACCAGCCACAAAATCAAAAAGTTTATTCTTACATCATGAAGAAACAGAATGAGGCAAGCTTAAGCTAGATTTATATTTCAATTATATTTCCCTGAGAGAAAGTCTAAAATGTCCTGCATCATTTTTATCAGTTCATAAGCTCTCATGAATGGATTTTTCTCATCTTTTTCATCCCTCCTTTGACTAAAGTCAAGCTGTGAGTGTGACCTCCTTCCCTTCACCTGGGGTAGCCACTGAAGAGTAAAAATTGGTTTTGTCCTCGCATTATCATGTGGTAATTCTTCTGTCACCATGAGAAGCTGCCAGAGAGTCATCACCTGTGAAAACACAATAACCATACCCTGTGTCCTCTGTCACCTGATTATTGAATGGAAAGATAAACCCTTCTGCCCATGACAAAAGTTAGTTCTCTCTGTAGTGGGCTCATTTATCCTTCCTAAGTTTCAGGTTCCTTTCTACTTGTCAGTGTTTATCTCCTTATTTAGGGATGAGGGTCAGGGGAGAGAAACCTGTAAACAAAGGAAGTAAACAAGGTAAGACCTTCTTTGAATAATGGCAGAAGGATTTTCAGAGCATAGGATTAGAAGGTTGGAAAGGGGTGGTTATTTTATTTCATTTCATTTCACTTCATTTTAAGATCAAGTAATCTATAGGAGACTCATTATGTTCCAGCAATTCTTCACTACTCCTCTTAGGCCTGGAGTCCTGCTTCCTTGTCTTTTGAACCTAGTATATCATGTCCCATTTGTGTTCAGCCACTAAGAAGACCTCTTCTAGGGGCTAGAGGGTGTTCTGGGATCCCCTTGGTCCCTAGAGGCCTGCTGCTGCTCACTCATCCATACGAGCCCATGACCCTGGAAGGGGTAAATTTCCTATCAAGTGGTCCATCCTGAGAGGAGATTCAATAGACGATACATCTTTACATCTTTGGTACTTTATTAAACTGAAGTCCCTACCAATTTTTTTTAAAGTAATATAATAGTTTATTTTTTACATCATTTGTGCATTTTTCCATCTCAGTTGTAATCCCCATGGGCTTTCCATCACTAAATCACCCATGTGCCATCACCATAGTTCAGTGCATTTCCCTCTCCCCCCCCCACTGTTTTTGATCCCATTCCCCACTCCACCCCATAAAATGACTCTGGTATTATAGCTGTTCATTATTACTATTATTTTCTCGCCTGATCTGTTATACTCCTGCTATGAGTGAAACCATCTAGTATTTTTCCTTTTCTTTCTGGCTTATTTCACTAAGCATGATCCTTTCCAGCTCCATCCATGTTACTGCAAAAGGCATGTGTTTATATTATTTTTTTGGTTGCTGAGTACTATTCCTTTGAGTATATGTACCAATCCAGTCATCCACTTTTGGGCATTTGGGCTGTTTCCATGTCTTCCAATTGTAAATAAAGCAGCAATAAACATGGGGTGCAGGTATCTTTATATATATATATATATATACATATATATAGTTTATTTTACATCATTTTGTACATTTTTTTTTCATCTCAATTATAATCCCCCTGGGTTTCCCATCACCAAGTCACCCATGTGCCATCACCATAGTCCCATGCACTTCCTTCTCCCTTCCTCCACCGTTTTTGATTCCATTCCCCACTCTACTCCCACAAAATGTCTCTGGTATATGGCTGTTCATTTTTCTTTTTATTTTCTCACCTGGTCCATTATACTCCTGCTATGAGCGAAACCATCTGGTATTTTTCTTTTTCTTTCTGGCTTATCTCACTAAGCATGATCTTTTCCAGCTCCATCCAAATTGCTGCAAAAGACATGTGTTTCTCTGAGTAATATAACATTGTATATATGTACCACATCTTTTTTATCCAGTCATCTACTTTTGGGCATTTGGGCTGCTTCCATGTTTTTCCAATTGTAAAGAAAGCAGCAATAAACATGGGGGTACAGGTATCTTTTTCAATCAGTGTTTTTGTGTCTTTTGGATAGATACCTAGGAGTGGGATTGCTGGGTTGTAGGGAAGCTCCATGTTTAACAGTTTGAGGAACCTCCAAACAGTTTTGCATAGTGGTTGTTACTAGTTTGCATTCCCACCTGCAGTGCAGGAGAGTTCTTTTTTCTCCACATCCTCACCAACATTTGTTGTTGCTAGTTGTTTGAAGATGTGCCATTCTCACTGGGGTGAGGTGGTATCTCATTGTGTTTTTAATTTGCATCTCCCTTATTACTAGTGATGTTGAACATTTTTTCATATGCTTGTTGGCCATCTGCATTTCCTCTTTGGAGAAGTGTCTTTTTAGCTCTTCTGCCCATTTTTTATGGGGTTGTTTCCTTTATTTTTGTTGAGTTTCATCAGTTCTATGTATATCTTTGTGATCAATCCTTTATTGCTAGTTTTGCATGAGAAAATTTTTTCCCAGTCATTGGGATGTCTGTTTGTTTATTTTAATGTCTCCTTTGCTGTACAGAAGCTCTTTAACTTGATGTAGTGCCATCTTCTTATCCTTGACTTCAGTGTCGTTGCTTTGGGTACTGTATCTTCAAAGATGTTACTGAAGTGTATGTCGTATAGTGTTTTGCCCACATTCACTTCCACATATTTTATGGTTTCCATTCTTATGTCTATATCTTTAATCCACTTCGAGTTGATTTTTCTGTATGGCCTGTGTCTTTTTTATTGATGAGTTTAATCCATTTACATTTAGAGATAGTATTGATATACTGGCATCTACATATGCCTTTTTTTGGGTCCTTTTGTCTTTTTATTCCTTCTTTTGAACAATCCTTGTTCATTCTTCTGTTAGATTTGGTTTGAGAGCTTCTTGTAGTATTTTTTGGAGTGGAGGTTTAGTCATGACAAAATTGGAGTTTCTGTTTGTCTGAAAATGGCCTTATTCCTTCTTCACAGAGGAAGGAGATTTTTGCAGGATAGAGTATTCTTGGTTGCTATTTGATGCTTTGGAGTTCGCTGAGTATGTCTCTTATGAGCCTGTTTTGTTTCAATACCTCCTGTTTTTCCAGCCCCCACTGTATGGAATTGTGTGTGTCTTCTCAGCCAGTGACACTCAGGGGTCTCTTGTGGTGTTCAGCTTCTTCCAGTTAAACATTGAGTACTTGTCTCTGGAATGTGCCTGTTGATGTTTGCAGCCTTCCGATGTCCCAGGTTCCCTCTATGCTTGGATGTGCCCGTGGTGGGTGGGACACATTGGAAGTGTTGCATGTCTCCCTGCAGCTGGGCCTGTGACTGAGCTAGTCAGTGGTTTTGTTTACTTTCTTAGCACTGTGAGCCTTGCAAGGCAATGCCTTATTGGCTCACAAGTCTTCAGGCCTTTGCTGTGGGGTTGGGGGATGCAGGGAGTGCCTGCAAGCCTCCCAGCTGTGCCAGTCCTCCCTCAGTGCTTCCAGGGCTCTTTGTGCCCACTCCAAGCAGTCTCTAGTCCCCACCAACTTTATTCAATATTCGTATTGTTAGCCTGATAAAGTTATTTCCATCCATTTAAAACCATCCACACCTTAAATTCCCAAAGTAGCAGAGCACTGTGCAAGTTTCACCCAATTCTTTTTGTTTTCAAGTTGTACTGATTTACCAGTAGTATATTTTACATAGCTGTATAATTTTGGGAATCTGACTCCCACCTCCATTTGTGTACATACCTCACTCTATTCTTCTAACAGTTTTGCTACAACCCTTCTCTCCTATCTCCCTTCTCTCCTCTTCCCTCCCATCACTTCTGGCAACAAGTATATTTTTCATAGATCCTAAGGATCATTCTTTTTTGTTTTCTTAGTTTTTTTCTTTCTTTATATTCTGCAAATAGTATTCCATTTACCATAATCACTTCAAGATCCACCATTTTCTCCCAAAAACCATACTTTTACCTTTTTTATACCTATGTGGTAGTCTGTTTAGCTTATATCCCATAATTTCTTCATCTAGTGGTCTGTCAATGTACATCTAGGTTTGTTCCATGTCAGCAATCTTTTTTTATATTCCTTGGGTAAATACCTAGCAGTATTATTGTTAAGAAAATGGGATGGAGAATCTTTATTCAGTTCTTATAAATGCTCCAGTGAGGTTAGGAATTAGGACATCACTAGGCATTTTACAGGCGTGACTTGCCCCAGGGTCATGGACTAGGCCAGAATTTTAATCACTAAATTTTTCTTTCTTTTCTCTGAATGAGGGTTAAAAAGAAGAATGCAATCAAGCATTTTCTAATTAGGCTACTGGACTTACTGGACTGCAGAAAAGCAGCTTTTCTCTTTGGGAAAAGCTTTTCTAGCTTTTTCATGAGGTTGTTAGAGCTAGAAAAGGTAGCTCTAAAACCTCATGAGTTCATTATGAAGAGTGGGTCAGATATGGGTTGTGTCAATTCAAAGATAAGCTCACTTGTGTTTGGATGGCTGTAGGTGACCCTGTGCCTACCCCTGATAGCCAAAAACTGAATCTAGGCTCTGTCTTTCTGCCACAGGTACCTGGCACTCTATGCCTACAAGCCCCAGAAGAATGATGAGCTGGAGCTACGCAAGGGTGAGATGTACCGAGTCCTTGAGAAGTGTCAAGATGGCTGGTTCAAGGGCATGTCCCTGAGGACTGGGCTTTCTGGGGTGTTCCCGGGAAACTACGTGACACCTGTCTCTAGGTGAGGCCATCTTTACTGTGTGGGAGAAGAGAGAACAGCTGTTCTTACTGCTCAGGGTCACATTGTAGTCTGGACACCCAGATTACAGTTCAGAGGGAGCCCAGGTGCCTCTACCTGTAGGCCTGGGTTCTGTGAACTCAGACATTGCCTTGCTACCTAATTGGATAAATGAGACCTCAAGAAAGTGTGTCTGTGTGTGCCGTGTGATTGTCAGGGCATGCATGTGTGATGACACAACTGCTATGCATGAAACATACACATATGCAAATATACAGAGAAAAAGCGATATATTCCCCAAGTGAACAATTGTTATTCAGTGGTAGCTTTGTGGATAATCAAAAACTTTCTTCCTTGCTTTTTTCAAGTTTCTATTATTGTTGTGGAATAGAAAGGGCAATTTTAAAAATTCAAAAAAGTGGCAATCTGAAATTGTCTGAGAATTTTCCACTGAGATGAGGGGGCACTGCCTGATTTTGTTTCAGATAGCATCATTTACAGAAACTCTTTATGCATGTTAATACCCCAGGACACACTGAAGACATGTTCCTTGGATTTCTGCCCTCTATTTTTTTTTTAAGATTTATTTTATTTATTTATACATACAAAAACTGGTATGTAGGCCAGAGGTGCAAGGAGGTGAAAGGATTCACCAGAGCCAGAGTGGGAAGTAGAACAGACAGATCCAATGACATACAGTGCTGAGAGGAGCAGTGAGTAAGACAGGAGAGGTCTACTAAACTATGTGGGTCAGCTCCCTGGACAGGCACTGAGGCTTAACATCCATGCCACTGGGGAGACCCTTCTGCCTTCTTTAAAACAAGACCTAGTTCTTGTACAGCTAGATTGATCATATTTCCTTAAGACCCAGAGGAGCTGTGCTGGCCTGGGTACCATAGGCTCTAGGGGTTACCCTGTTACCCTAGGATGGCTCATTTATAGCACCTCCTAGTGGCCCTCCTAGAATTTGATTTAACAAATTGCTTCCTAGGGTAAAAGTGAATTCAACAGGTAGTAGCTGTGATCAAGAAAGAAAGAAAGAAAGGGAGGGAGGGAGGGGTGAGGGGAGGGAATGAGAGGGGAGGAAATCGGGGTGATGGTTGGCCAATTGACAGAACTCCTTGTTAGAGGCAAATCTCTGGGTAGCCCTGAGACTAAGGAAGGAAAGTGCTGTCCCTTACCCTGTGGTTCCTACATAGCCTAGTCCTTTGCCAGGAGCTCCTTCTACAGTTATTCCTCAGGAGCCTTGACTTGGTGCCATGAGGTGCAATGGTGTGGAGCACTTGCTTGCAGCACTCAGAGAGCTGGGGCAATCTGACCTGACCCAGGGGCTGTGACCCAGCAGTGGCTGCCACCCATGCATGACTTCTAGTGTCTCACAACTGAGATCTTAAGGGAAGAGGGGGTCGTCTCTCATCTCTCTCTGTTTTTTATTCCTCACAGTTTTTTTTTCTTCTTATTTTAATTAATTTATATATCTATATTATTGTTGATTTTATAGCAATGTTTCCTTTCCCCCTCCCCCACTTCACCCACCTATCATCACCATAGTCCCTCACACTCCTCCCTCCCTCCTTTTGATACTTCTCTGTCCCCCTTCTCTGTAGGTTATCTATAATTTAAAACTGTCTATTTTTGTTTTGTTTTGTAATAACAATATACTCCCCCCCCCCATGTCTTATTTGGTTCTCTTATATTCCTCCTGTAGGTGAAACCATTCGTTATTTTTCTTTTTCCTTTTGACTTATTTTACTGAGCATAATCCCTTATATCTGACTAGGAAAAAATTTTTGCATTCCATATAGTGGATAAGGGACTGATCACAAAGATACACATGCATCAACAGAAACAAAGCAAACAGCCAGTCAAGAAATGGGCAGAAGAACTTAGAAGACACTTATCCAAAGAGGAATTGCAATTGGCCAACAGGCATGGGAACTAAATGTTCAACATCCCTTGTAATCAGGGAAATGCAAACCAAAATGAGATATAAGCTTACACCAATGGGAATGGCACAAATCAAAAAATTAAGTCTCTCATCTCTTAAAGAATGGAAAGCATTCAGATAAAAACCCACAGGCTCTGCCAAGTCCCTGTATTCTGCTGTATCTCACAAGAGAGATACAGCAAGAGATTTAGTAGACATGAATGTAGAATGAAAGGGCTAAAAAGTCCATTTTCAAAGTTGTTGTGTTCCTTTACTATTTCTTAAAAAATTGCAACTAGTTTTATCAGGAAATTAGGTGAAAGGGTGAAAGGGGTGAAACTGCAAGTTTCCTGACATACTTTCAAAGGAAGTGGTGGATTTGCACCCTTCCCCAGAAGTTGACAGAAATGATAAGTTAGCTCGGCCCAGAGGGAGGTGGGTCCTGTCCGTTGTTTTCTGCTAATGCCAGATGTGCCCAAGCCTTGTGGGATATGACTGAGTAGCTATTTTTCTGTTCTTTTTTTTTTTTTTTTTTTCAGAATAAATCAAGATAGTAAGCCTGTTGCAGAGTATTTGATTTATATTCCTATTTTTTGGGGTTCTTCCACTCTTTATTAAGCACTCACATTGAGAGTTAGTCCCCATAAAGTTTTCATAAAGAGTTCCCTGCTACTGAGCATGACCTCTGGGGATCATTTGCCTATAGAGATGATCTCGCCATTATTTTAGGATATCCTTTTGGAATATATGACTAGAGTAAGCAGACATTTGTCAGTATACTATGTAATGAGGTTTCATTTGTGCCCTCACCCAACTTGATGCTCTGTTTTATCCTTAGGGTTCCTGTAGGAGTGGTTGGATCACCCCGGAATAATGGAGGCTCTCCACTAGCCAAAGGGATGGCCACAACCAGCCACCCAGGTGGTGGAAGTCTGAGCAGCCCAGCCACAGCCACAAGGTCTACACTGCCCCTCACCGCTTTCCAGGCCCAGGCCCAGGCCCAGGCCCAGCACCAGGCTGCCTCTTCCCCAGTGAGCACATGTCTGCTGCACTCGCCCCAGCTGGTGACCAGTCAGGTCCGGAGCACAATCTCCACAGGTACCAGGGGCTCTGGGACCTTGTGTCATAAGAGTACTTGACAGCAGAACTCAGGAACCAATAAAAGGGAACATTTTGTCCCAGTTCTAAAATATCAATAGTCTGAAATAGACCACATTGTATTGTTGTAATCTTGAACATATGCAGGTCTTCAGAAAATGGACTGACTTCTACCTTGTTATGGAAGCTGAAGTATATTAGAGAACTCACAAATTTTAAATATGTCCTTGTAATAAGAGGACTGCATGGACTAGCGAGACTAAATTGGTACTTTTGGACACCATCAGTGAGGAGTTATGGGTCAGTAGCATAGGCTTTCCCTGTGCCACATGCTTTCAAGTACCCTAGCTAGGCAGCACAGAGCTGGTGCTGATTCGTATATATATCCCTTTGCTGGAGTGCTCTGGGCCAGGAAGGAGTAATGGTCATTGATCCTTCACCTGTATGTAAACTTATCAATACATAAGCTGATGTAATTTAAGGGGAATAAAACATTATTTCCCCAGTTGAGGTAATAATATAATATGAGGTAAAGAGAAATTCTGAGCTGGATCTTAAAGGCAGAAGGAAAGGAGGCAGAAATTATGGAGTGGGCCATAAAAACTTGCTCAGAAGCTTAGCCTTGAATGCATTAGAATTGCTGAAGCTTGGCCCACACACTTGCTAGGTAATCTTCCCAACTGTAAGGCCAGTGACATTGTCACTGTGCAATGCAAAATACCCAGGACAGGTGTATGCAACCCAGAAATTCATTTATATGGCACAGAATTCCCTCAACCTTCTCAGAAACTCTCTTCTTTTCTAAATAAGACTTATGGCCAACCAGAAGACAACTCACTAGAAGTGCTCTAGGAAGCAGATTCTTAAGTGTGAAGTCAAGATAATACTCGATGAAGCAGAACCCATGCTTCCCCTTGAGTCATAGCCATGGACAATAGTTACCTACTGGCCCACATGGCTCTCTTTGGGGAAATTTGCCTAAACATCCCCAACCTAGGCAGACGTGTGACAGGAGGGATTGCAGTGCCCTGCATGTATTCATGGCTTTGATACAGAACACTTTAAATATCCTGGAGTGTAGTCCACAATGTCAGTATGCCTGCTAGGTAGACAGGACCCCACCTCTGTGCTTAGCTCCCACAAGCTGTCTGTCAGGAAGCAATGACACCCCGAGAGACATGTGGGTGCTGTGGGTAGAGTTGGGAGGATCCTGAATATGGAGGAGAGTACAATGTGGAGTGGGTGTAACATGGAGGAGGATAGCTTGAGGGATCTGATGTGGGAGCTTTCTGATGTGGGACAGTGATGGAGAGAGGGAAATGGGGATGGCTCCTTAGGAGAAGCCATCCGAGAATGAACAATAAACATTTAGGGTGAAGAGCAAAGAATGAAAGAAAACACCTTAGGAATAAGAGGAAAAGATGAATGAACAGAAATAGGAGAGACTACATTCTTATTCTGTCAATTGCAAGTAATTTAGTAAGCCTGGTAGAGGCAAGGATTTGGGGAACAGGCAAATTTGTGAATGCTGGGGCCACTACCACTGCTAAGAACTGTTCTATTAAGTGGCATTTACCCCTGGGGTTGTGTATGGATCTAGCTGGACAGGTTCCTACCTGTTTAGCACATTGTAGCTCTTTTTATTCCATGAGAGAGTAAGATTGGAGTAGCCAATGCATGAAAGTCAATAGTCTATATAAATTGTTAACAAAGGATCTCTCTTTGTGAGTTTTTTTAAAGACCAGAGAGGTTTTAAGCTAGAGGCAAGAAACTTTACCAAGTATCCACAGGTACAGTTGGGAGGAAAGGTTGGTGACAACCTGAGGTGTGCAACCCCCAGAAAGTGTTTTGTGCCCAGGTGAGAGGAGTTGATAGACTTCTCAGTACATGGGGCCCCAGTGCATGGGACTGCAGAATTAGAACAAATTAATGAGAGATTTATAAGGCAAAAGTGTTATGACTTGGAGATGGGCTGGACTAGGTGGATATGCTTAGGGTCTTCTAGGTTGGTTGACTAGAAGAATGATGATGGAATACCTTCGGTAGAAGCACTTGCAGGTGACCATGACCAGAGAGATGGAGGGACCACTAATTTGGAGCTGCCTCCCAAAATGGCTGACATCCTGTGTGAATCCCACTTGGTCATGATAGAAGGCAGACTGCCTTGTAGGTAAGGTATAGACACACTCCAGACTCAGGGAACAGATACTGCTCTACATGATTTCCAGTCAGAAGACAAAGAAATGTGACAGCATACTGATTCCTTTTTGGGGTAGAGATGGTAAAGACACCATCTCTTTGAAAGGTGGGTTTCTGCTGCCCAGTGCTGGATCTATCTGTAGGTGCTTCCAGGGGGTGATGGAGAGGCTTCCAGGACCCTGTGTCTGGCCTAATGTTGGGAGGGGCCATGCTGGAAGTTTGGGGGGTCTGCACAGGACCTGGGTACTGCTCTGACTGTCTCCAGGACTAACACCATTCCAGACACCTACCTGTAAATGTCTAATAATCTTTCATGTATATTATACTGGCCAAGAATGAGTGCTGTGTTTGTTGAATTCTGACCTCTGTAGAAAACCTCATTATATTTGTACTAAGAGCTCTGCATCAATACTACAAGATTTGTGCCCAACCACTACCTTCTACTCAGCCATGAATATAACATTGGCTTAAATTCCTCAGATGGTGTTTATTGGTGAGTGCTAGCTAGGGATACAGCCATTGTAATACCCCCAGGACCAGGTAAGCCCACAGGGCTGCTTCCTGACTGCTGTGCAAATCAGAATTATGATAAAAACTGTCGTGTTGGCCCTTGGAACATCCAGGCAGTACCTGGAACAGATAATGTACCAATCCAGGTGCCCTCTGGCTATAAAACTAACATCTACTTTTCTGTTTGTCATACAAATGTTTCTACATGTACCATGGCCTAGAAAAACTGGGCAGTCCTGCTACTTACTAAGCCCCAGCATCCCCACAGGACAACCATGGTGATCTGCACAAAATGTTAAAATAATGGTCTTTTCATAGCATGTCTTGCTTGCAACTTTCTCAATTCCAAGAGGAAAATGAGACCTGTCAGTCATTTCTGTGGAATAACAAGCAGAATCAAAAGAAATTGGCATGACCAGCAGCAGCAAAACACTGCATCTCAGTTATCATCACCATAGTAACCACTGTGGTAAGACAAGTTTTCTCTTCCATCACTGTAATTTTTACATATAGGAAGAGGAGGCACAGAGTGGTTAAAAGGGTCTCCGTGGCAAATTCTACTTCATGCTTGTCTCCACACAGTTGTTGTCACCACCAAGTTAAAGAAGGTCTCCTACTGCACCATGTCAAAAAATTAAGTGCCACTGAGTTCTCACAGCATTTTCTACTTCAGTCAGCATTTAGGAAGACAAAACCACTATTGACTTTACAAGTATTAGATTGTGGGCTGCAGTGATTGCCCATTTCAGCAGACCCCAACCCAGGTTGTGAAAGCCATTTTCATCTGTGTTATCATCTCCAGACAAAGTCAGGCAGTTTGACAAATATTTAATTGCATTTTCCATTGCATCCACTATGATTTGTTCTACTTGATTAATGTGACTTCTTTTTCGAGGACAAACAGTATAAAAGTCCAGTGTCCACATGTGTTTATGTTTTAGCAAACATAAGAGCAAAAAACTCAGGAGAGCCAGATACCCACAAGGCATAAGGTACCTTCCAGGGTCCAGAAATATAGAAAAGGTAAATAGAGAGAAAGACAGGCAAAAACTTCTTTTAAAAAAAAATTATTTTTATTTATTATGCATACAAGAACTAGGGTGTAGGCCAGAGGTGGGAAGGTAAGAAGATTCACCAGAGACAGAGTTGGATGTAGAATAGGCAGCTCTCCTGAAACATACTGCCAAAGGGAGCAATGGGTGAGACAGGAGAGGTCTCTTGTGCCCTGTGGGTCAGCTCCCTGGCCTGGGTTCAAACTCATGCTTCCGTGGCTGCAGATAGCTACATAGTGCTGAGACTTAACACATTGTGCCACAAGGGAGGCCCAAGAGACAAACAAATTTGTACAGTAGAATTCAAAAAGCACTGTAGAGTGTATTGGTGTTAAGAAAGCATGGAGTGTTATATCAATCAGGTTACAGAGCAAAATAGGAGAGGGAATAGGAAAGTACTTTTTCAAGCAGAATTATAGCAGGCACACTAGCAAGAGCCAAGACATGGCAAGGAGAAACCCTATTGGGTAACTTTCATTTGATGTGACTGAAAGAAAAATTGTGAAAGGAGAAGTCCAGTGTGTTGATGACAATTTCTTACTTTTGAATGTCAAAGATGGACAAAACCTAACATGGGATGGTGAGCATGGATGAGAATAGAAGCTGTGAAAAGCTGAAACAGTGTGCTTGAGAAAGGAAATCAGTGTACTATGGTGGTGGACTATGAGTGTCCTCTTGGTGGGGCACTATGGTGGTGATATCTGATAGGAGCCTATACTTCCAAAATACCAAAATACTATACTTCCAAAATAATGTATGCTAATTTCACGTCAATTATAAACTAAGTTTTCAAAAATGAAATGAAAATGGAAGTCAGGTTGTTGTGGAAGAACAAAGAAAGCAAGAGACTGAGTTTCTTTGTGGTAAAGCTGAAACCATACAGTAGGCAGGTCAAATCTTTTAGAACATGTTGAAGTGTCAGGGACCGAGACCAGGACCTTGCCTCCTATGCACAAAACAACACTTGATCGGAACTTAGGGTAAACATCCCGGTTGAGAAAACAGCACACCTGAATCCCTTCCCCCACTCCCTCTCCCTTCCTGCTCAGCAAGTTCTGGTGCCTGAGATAGGTCGACTTCCTTAAGATGACGAGGCTCCCTCCCCTCAACCCCATTGGCCTTTGAAACATCAAACCATCAAGACCACCCCCCAACCGTACCTTCTGTACCGCCCTCATGCTCTATCTATCTGTGACTGTAACAAAAAAGAAGAAGAAAGCTCTCCTCAGTGAAAGATGTGTCTGCGTTTTTCCTCGCGCTGTCCCTGGGGCTCTGCTCCCTCGCCTTGCTGGACAAGGCCCCCCGGATTGAAGAATTTCATATTTTTAATCCAAAGGCTCTGGGCATATTTGAGGATTTTAAATAATATATATTATAGTATGTTTTTATGTAAAAGACAAAGCTAAACTTTTGTTTATGGCACAGATAAAGTTATGAGTGAGGTCAGCATCTATTCTGATGGAAACATTTTATATATATATATATATATATATATATATGTAAAGTATACATGTAAAGAAACAGATACTTTAAATATTGGAAAACCAAGACCAATGGTTCATGAAATACATGAAAGAAAGAGACAGGCCCCAACTTAACTGTCTGGAGAGAAGGTTCAAGAAGTGGCCCTGGGAAAAAACTGAAACAGGACATGCATGTGATGAAACTACCCAGAGCCAGGAACACATGCACACATGCACAGAGACACCTGAAGTAGAACTGTTTCTACCTTTCATGCAAGTACTGAAGAAATGGGAGGAAATCTGAACAAGTCTTTGAAATCAGTATTTTTAAGAACCTCCAAAAGGAAAAAGAATGACTTCTACTACAAAAAGAAAGACAAAACAGTGTTAGGAAAAAACACAGGTAGAAGACTGACATAAGCCACTTGATATGAAGAAAGAACCAACTTGACATGGGAAGGAAAATGCCTTTAAATACAAAACATAGTTATGTGCTGTAAGCCTTAACCTGAACAACAGTTATAGATGACAATGGAAATCCACACAAAGGAATTTATCCAGAACATAGAACAAAGATGAAAAATATATTTTTAAAAATGTGAAAGATAAGAGAGTTGAAGGGGCTGGGTGGGGTGAATTAAGAGTCATTGTGGAAGTTTCTAGTTGTTCTCATTTCAATCTTAAAGTATGAGCAAGAAAGGACAAAAGTAATGGTAATGTGAGGCATTCCATTTATAAATAAAGTAACTTCTGGATACTGGACATGATTCTATGTTCTGGAGGAGTAACAGTGAATGGCATGATGGCTAATGGGGATTAAGAGATTCCAGTTTGATGCATATCAGAGTTTCAAAGAAAGGAGAGAGGTCAACTGGAGTTTTCTCCAACTTTCTGCATCTGTTGTGTAGCTTGCTTCAGCATTGTTAACTAATTTGATCACCCAAGATTAACCTAATCTTGTGTCAACCCAAGTTTTGATGACGCAAAGAGATTACAGGTAAATTATACTGAAGATCAATGAATATGGATGGATTCCCAAAAATCTCCTACCAGAGATTCTCTTTCTTGTGGAGTTTTGTTGTCTTCTCTCATGGTTTAGTTCTGTGAATCTGTAGTGATATTGTAGCTGGAGTTCTTTTTTTACAAAGATTCATTCATTTAAAAATGTGTACTAAAAATAATACATACTTACATTACATATGTAAATATGTATGCAATAAGTGCCTGATCAATGCCAGACCCCATTCCTGTATTTGGAATATATTAGTGAATTAAACAGAAAATGTGTCCACCTTCCTGGAACGTCATTGTAGTGGACAGTCAGTGAACAATCAACATACAAAAAAGTGGTTTATTATATAGACTACTTGGAGAAAAGAAACATTTGAGCAGAGTGAGATAGGTGCTGGGGTCAGACTTTACTACATTTGGTGATGAAGTCAGGTTTCTCAATGTGGGGTCTGATCTGACAGCAGCAATGGGAATCCCCTATACTACCTGGGTGAAGAGCCATCTGTTTAACAGAATCTGCACTGAGGCAAGGGAGAGCTGCGTGTGCAAGGAGTAGCCAGGAAGCCTAAGTCCTTGAGGGAAAGAAAAGGGAGAAAGATTAGAGATTACATGGCAAGCTTAGAACTTTCTGGAACACCCTTTCTCTTTTGTATCCAGTTTAACAAGGTGATGTGGCAGTCATGTGGAAGCTAGTAAGGAAACCTCAAGAGGTACTGTAGACTAATTTTCTCTGACACAAGCTGAGCAGTTGGTTCCCATTCTGGGGTGAAGGAGAGTTCAGACAGCAGGAGAGAAGCAAATAAATGGTCCCAGGAGCATCATCCACATCACGAGTTACCTTAGGGTAATTAAGTGACCCCAGTGGCTTCATCGATCTGTGTAATTGGCTGACCTACCCTTCTTTTTAAAATGCGAAACCACATTGAATGAAGACCTAAACCCTGAATCATTTTTCAAACCCTAAATGAGTTCTTATATATTCTATCTCCCAGAGACCATACACACACCTGGGTCCCAGAGCCGCCTTGATCACAAAACCAGAACTTGCAGGCTCTTGTGTTGGAGTGACTTTCCAGGAAGTGCCAGTGTCAGGATTTATGAGGGCATTATCAATTCAAAACCCATTAGAGTCTGAGAATGTTGTGTTATTGTATGTGTTTTGCTAAATTTGTGCATGTCACAAATTCTGGTGATAGAAAATCAGGACATTGTGACATGTGCTTATTTTCTCAGCTTATTAGTGCAAAACTTAGTGAATAAGGGTTGCAAAGTGTTTCACAGTGATGTCCTGCCATGGCTTGGATCTATCCTCGCAAGTCACCACTCCTCTGCATGGCTTGTCTCTCCCAAGGTTTCTTCATCTGCAATTAGTAGGAACACATTTTTAGTATTCAAAATTACTAACCAAGCATCAGTAGGAGTAATTTTAATATGGTGTTGCATTTACAGGGAACTTTATTCTGCAAATGGCAGAGTACAAATACTTTGAGATCCCTAACATTTTTAATTTTTAGGAAACATTTTTTGTGGCAGCAGGAGGCTAAATTCATAGTTGCAAGATTGCTGTTCTGTAAATCAAGAAACTCCAGTGCTTCTATGTGCAGGTGAAAAGGAATATAGGTAGAGAAGGAATCCAGTCAATAGGCAGAAGGCTGTGGTTGAGGCTGCAGCACAGAGAAGTGCACACAGATTCCTTCCTAAAACTGACTGCCCCAGCCCAGTCAGATCAAATATGAAGATTATGAAACAAAAAGCTTGGCCATCACAGTTGTGTGAGACTGTCCAGAGCTGGGCTATTCATAATCCTTGACTACATGTAGTGTTGTGTGATAATTTGTAGGACTCTTGATATTTTTTTATGATTTTTCTCACAGGTTTACTTTTACAAACATTTTAACAAGAGGCTTCTGAATGCATTAGTTCACTGCAGCAAAGAAACCAAGTTAGAAGTCTACATAGAAAACTGGCAACATGCCCACATTCATGATTAGTTGAATAAAGATGGTTTAGCTACTCCTGAAGGAGTTGTTTTCTTTTATTTATTTATTTTTTTGGTGGAGCAGTGACCAGACTCCAGAAAGATAGGGTGCATTCACAGGATCACTAGACTCAGTTTCTCTGCCACAAAGTATGGCCAGGTCTGGAGAGATTTTGGAGAGAGGCCATGAGCTCTGAGAAGACGAGTCTGAGAAAAAAGTCTATTGCAGTTGCTTTTGCGGATTGAAAACTAGCCTTTTAATCCTGCTTTTTCTCCAACTCTCTGCTCTCTGTTCTAGCTGCTCACACTTCAACTCAGGCTCAGGACCGGCCAACTGCCACAGTGTCACCCCTACGTACCCAGAACTCCCCATCTCGCCTGCCTACTGCCAGCCTCAGGCCCTACTCTGTGGTGTCTCCACAGCATGTCCACCAGCCCCTGATGCAGACAGTTGTCGGGGCCCAGTGCCCCAGGCCTACTATCCCACTCACATCTGCAGCATCAGCCATTACCCCTCCCAATGTCAGTGCTGCCAACCTCAATGGAGAGGTTGGTGGAGGACCCATCAGCAGCCTGTTGACATCCAGTCCCACCAACACAGGATGCAGACCAGAGGAGAAGAAAAATGAAAAGGTAAGTAACCCATCCTATGCTAGCCTCAGCCTGACCCTACTGGTCATTGCAATAGTGATTTTTTTTTTTAAATTAAGGTTTAAATCTGGGCACTGAGCTCCTGCACACAAATGCACCAGGCAGAGGCCAGAGATGGAGGCCAAATCAGCAAAGTTGGCCCTTAGGGTAGAATTGGGGCAGGTGGCAAGTCTCACGTTCTCATAGGGCTTGCAGAAATCTAGAAACTCCTTTCTATAAAGGCGCTTTAGTTCCATCTGCTGGAGAATTGTGTAACATACTCATTTTGTTAAAGCAAGATACTTGTGTCCAGGTGCCAGGATATAATGATAAAGATACAAGTCTACTTCTGTGGTGTGTGGCCAGCACCCCCTCTTCATTGTCACCCTGTGTAATAAGCCCTAACCTGTGCAATACACATCATATTCAACCATACCAGGCAGGCCTTTTTGCTGTAGAGAAGGATGTTCCAATCTAAAAATCTTTTAACTGTGAAGGGAGTTCATCTTTTTCCAAAATGAAATATTAGTTTTTGTTTTTTTACATAGTTG